CCATAAAAAAATGAGGGAAAGAATGTTGTAAAACATACAATCAACATTATTGCAAGAGGATTTACAAGGGGTACAAACACTAGCACCGTTCTGAAAAGATACACTTGTTTGGTATCAAATATAGAAGGCCTTTCCATGGAACCAGTGGAAGGAGAGATCAAGATTCTAGAGGTTAAGGTTGTTTATTCAGAGAAAGATGCATCGGGTATCCACCCCCACAATGACGATCCTATGGTCACCACTGTGAGGTGCGATGATTGGGAAATCAGAAAAGTTTTTGTAGATTAAGATAGCTTTGCATATATCCTTTATTGGGGTGCATTTGAGAGGCTATGCCTTGACCCAGATAAGATAAAAGCTTTAAAGGGATCACTGGTTGGGTTCACTTGGAGCAAGTACGAGTAAGAGGCTACATAACAATGAAGACTGCATTTGTAGTGTGGGAACAAGCCAAGTAGATCAAGGTCGTGTATTTGGTATAACCCCTCTTATTATAATATGATTATAGGATTTTCAAATTTTAATCATTTGGGCACCGCCTTTTCAACTTTATACTTGTGCATGAAGTACTCGATATTTGATGGGTTGGTTGGAGTCATCCAATGAGACCAAGGAATAAAAAAGAAATGCTACGTGGAGAGTCCCAAGATGAAAAAAGTATGAACTCTAGGTGCGAATACCAAGAATGTTGGTTTGAGAATCAAGATTTCATAAGTAGCTCTCCAATGTGGAGAATCTCACCCTTAGAAGAATGAGAAGATGGGAATCTGGAGCCTCAGTGGGAAGCTCCATTGATGCATTTTTAATTTATTATGATTTGTTTGTTTTGTTGTTATTTTTAATCATCCAGGTATTATATCTTTGTTGTTTGTAAGGAGAAGTTGTTTTATGGGAACATGCTCATTTCCTCCGTGCCTCGTGAGGGAGACAAGGGTTTTTAAGGAGGCTCTTCACTTTATCATTTCTTAGATGTTTGCATTGATTTCTCTTGTCTTTTTCTTTGCAAGAAACCATCTCAAGAGGTGATCATAAATGAAAGACCCACGTAGAGGGATCCTTGTTGCCCTATGTGACACACACAAATGTTGGATCCATATAGAAGGATCTTTGTCTCCCTACGAGGCGGTCATAAACATTGGATGTTTACGAGGGATCATTGTCACCCTTTGAGGCGATATAACATGTTACACCCTCATAGGGGATCCTTGATGCCTTGTGAGGAAATCACTAACGATGTATCCCATAGAAGGATCCTTGCCTCCTTTTAGGCTATCAAACATGTTAGATCTTTAAAAGGGATCCATTTCACACTTTGAGGTGATGTAACATATTATACCCTCATTGGAGATTCTTGTCGCCCTTTGGCAATCGCAAATGATGGATCCTCAAAGAAGGATCCTTGTCGCCATTTAGGCTATCAAAAACACTAGATCCTTAAAGGGATTTTTTCGCTCTTTGAGGTGATGTAACACGTTACACCCTCATATGGGATTATTGTCGCCCTTTGAGACGATCAAAGACGTTGGGTCCCTAATGTAACACCCCAAATTTTAATGGAATATTTATTTAAATAAGAATATTCGTATTTTGGTGATTTTCAGTGGTTTTGTGGAATATTGAGAATTAATGGAATTTGGGTTATTTATTTTGAATAATAATATATAATATGAATATATTAATATTATTACTAATTAAAATAAATATAAGTTAAATAAGAGGAAATTGGACAAGTGTGAGGAGTTATGAGGGTATTATGGAAAAAGCCCAAATTGTGAGACCCAAGTCTAGATTTAACAAAAAGAAAATTGTGAAGGGATTAGGATTCATTTGCTAAACCGTGAAGAGAATTGAGGCCAGAGCTTTGAGGAGGAAGATTGGAGGCAAAAGCTTCGAAAGATTCCCTGAAAGATTTGAGAAGGTTTTGAGTCGACAACTAAGGTATGAGGAGTATTACCTTCATGATTTTCCATGTGTAAATTCAATGTATTTAAGATCGATTCAATGATTTTCCATGTGTAAATGTCAGTAACCAATAGTATAACCCCTCTTTGAGGCGCACAAAACTTCTGCAGAGAAAAATGAATTATCCCAAACAATATTCTATTCTATTTCTCAGGACTCTCCATGATGTCTAGACATCTAGAATGACATCACAACCTCACATGAATCACATGAACACCTTCATGCTCATACGAGAAAAAAATATATCACAAATATTGAACCGTAACCAGTAGACACTTTGATTGAGATTAAAAAATCACCATTGATCACTCTCCCCCTGAACACATCCACACACTGTACAAATTCATCTTGAACCTTATAGACATAGATAACCTTGTTCTTTGAGAATAAATCCAATCAAGCCGTAAATGTTCACATTCCTTTAAAGAGACATACACATTCTTTTAACTCCTTGGTTAGCTAAGATGTCTTCCTTGGAAGACATTAAACCCCTTCACCAAATGAAGAGAGATACATCATCAACCTGCTACCTTCTCAAGATTCAGTCTGATACAATCTTTTATAGAGATACTTCTAGCAAAACCTACTTTCTACTCACAGATAGTCATAATCCACACAATCTTGACCAGTAGCTCTAAAGATGAAAATCAAATTCAGTCATCCTCCAAGGATAACCAATAGCAGGAATGATGTTCCAACATCACTTATGACATCAACACCAGTCACATGACTTACCATTTGCATAGTAATTCTTACACCTTATACGAGGCGGTCAGTTCATCATAAATGATATCGTTGAATACTTGTTATAATTGGCAGAACTTTAATCTATTATTGTTATAAGAAACGAGGGATTGTTGCACTATAATTTTGTGAAACTGGGTATGTTGCAGGTTCATTTGCAGTTTGTCAAGTCTTATGGATAAAAATTTTACTTGATGAATTGAACATCTTTAAGATATTTAACATGATGTTTCTTCTAGGAAAAAAAAGCTATAAATTTATCTAAACATCATTTTAGTTATAGTAGAGGCAAACATATAGAAAGGAAGTCCAATTTATATGCGATCAAGTAAACAATGGAATATTGAATTACAAAATTAGAATACTAATATGAAACTTATAAATATCCTCATCAAATCTTTGAAGCAATAAAGGTTTGATTAGTTAAAGATTTTGATAGGGAGAGAATTAATCATTAAAAACAATGAGTTTGATAATGTATTATGAATAACTCATATTTTAAGTTATTTGCATGTATGGGGTGGCAAACGGGCATTACCCGTCCCATTTAAACACGCTCTGCAAAAGCCCGTATACACTAGGGTAGGGCGGAACGAACATATTTAAGGGTGCACACCTAAAACCCTGTCATGTCCCGCACTAAATGTAAGGACGAGACGAATATGACTTGTAGGCACTGCATATTTTAAGTCTAAAAATATAAAATTATGTTAATGTTTCTACCCACAAAAGCCTACAAATAAAAAACAGAGCGAGGAAGAACAAACACATTAGATGATGCAGACCTGAACCTTTGTCCCGTCCAACATTAAAGTGTAAGAAAAACATAATTTACCACCCCTAATTGCATGTGCAATAAATAATTGTTTTGTTAATTATAAATTAGATGAATATTGTTTTGACTATAAGAAACCGTCTATGTGAATTTTAACTACTTATTCAAGTTAGTTCAATAACATTCCTTTAATTCATATTATTTCATATATGTAAAGCTTTTATTCTTTCTTTTTGTAGTATATTAATTCATTCTATTTATCTTCTTTAACATCTCACTAGATCATTTCATGTGTGATTGATCTAACATCATCTAATTCCATCCTAATATTAATGTTATCATTTTGATCTCCAATTTGTAAGGTTGTGCTTCAAATGTTTTATAAAATATACTAGTATTTTGATCCACAAAATGTAAGGTTATATACAACTTTTGATACTTTAACATAAATGAATATCAGCTTTCTCTAGTCAAAATGTTTCTCACAACATTCTCTTTCCTCTAATTAATAATACTAATCCACATCATAATCATGCACTCATCGTCACACATATCTATAATTAAAAATTCAACCAGAGCTCAACATTCACCTTAACATAAATATCATCTATCATATCTCAAAAATTACATTTGCAACACATCCAATAATTCATTTTCTAATTCGATCTCTTATTAAGGTCTGTCCACATTCGTGGTGCATTTCTCAAAGAGCCTCATGCATGTGCAGTCGTTGCTCATTTGAGGGGTATGATCAACAAATTAGCCTCACAAAAACCTATAAAAACGAAGAAGATAGACATGTTGAGAGTGCAACCTACAACTTTAATTTGACCCCAAAAAAATGTGAATAAAACTGACATATCTAGTACGTCGAATTGGTTTTATAAACCCGCATCAAATTTTAATCACTTATATTTTGCAAAAGTTTGTTTTACAACATTTATAAGAAAAGTTAACAATTTTTAAACTACATTTAATTTAATGCTATGATATAATTATAAATAACATGTTAAGATACAACAAGAAGTTTAATTTAATGCTATGATATAATTATAAATAACATGTTAAGATACAACTACAATTATGACACAACTATAAGTAACATGATCCTTGATGAAAAAGGAAAACTAAACACAAACATGATACAACTATAAACAAACATGATCCTTGATATAAAAAGAAAAGTCACATTGTTCAAACTATTTGTATAAAGTACAATCCGTCATAATAGCTTGTCTAAGAATTGCAACTAACATTGCGGCCTCTTTAGCTTTGCCATTAACATCTCTGCCCCACCATGAGTTGGCATTGATTCATATGAAAAAAAACAAATATGAAATTATTTCTTGAACTCTTGTTCTTTTTCAATATATATAATTTGAAGTTTACACCATAAATATAATTTGAAGTTTATACAACAATATAACATATATGGTATATCCTATCTCACACCTCACATCAACAAAATAATAACATATAAAAAAATTACTATAAAATAAATAAATGGTATTTTAACTTACTAAAATAACGAAAACACCCCTAACAAGACAAGAAACACATAAAACTTGTTGTAAAGTTGTGCATACTTTAAAACTGAACAAGAATCAGATTTCTCATCACTTGTTTTATCATCATCTTTGTCTTCCTTAGGATTGTTAAAATTGGAAGGAACAGTTGTGTCCGGTGCTGAATCATCGTCACCGGATATCGGACTTGCGGGAGCCGGAGAGTCATCCGCCGGTAAAAGAGTCTTCGGCAACCCTAATCCATGAGTCACGTTTATTCTGAAATGTTGTCCATTTTTGCATTGCTCACCATCATAATCACTTGAGAAGAAATATGTTGGTCCTTCTTTCAACAAAGGAACTGCCACTGTGAGTGGAGTTACTTCACCGTTGGATTGAGAACCTGATGACCATTGGACTGTGTCTTTGTCTTGTGCATCATCGTAGTCACATTGTTTGTATGTTGTGAAATTGTATGTTTGAACAATAGTGTGGTTACTGTCTGTATTGAAAACTACATGCAAACTCAGAGTTTAGTGTCAGTATCGTGTCTGATATTTGTGTAACCACTATGAATCATTCTGTGTATCTGGAGATTCATAGTGGTTAACTCGTTATAAAACAGAATATTTGTAACAAAAGAAAGGAATAAAAACAAGAAAAGGACCAGAAACTGTCATTTTCATGATTTTTCTTTTTACAAAATGGTAACAGTAATTTTCTCTGTTAAGCTATTATGAGAATAATTTGAATTGTGGAAGATTCTATAACAAGAATAAAACATTGTACTTTTGTTAGTGCTTCCAATTCAAGCACAACCTTTATAAATTTACTAAATGCTGCAATACACCAAAAAAAAAAACAGCATATACATCACATGGAGGAAATAACAACTCAGGTGATATCATTGATCATAATTCATAGTAAATAGTATAATTCATAGTAAATAGTATAGTTGAAAGTTTTATTTTACGAAGCCAGACACTCCAAAACGGCTCAGGCAAGACACTGCGATACCAATAATAATTTTAAAAAAAATAAAAATAAAATATAATTATAATATCGGTGCAGGTGTTCGACACGCACACGGACTCGACTAATTAGGTTTTAACCAATCTAATTTTATGCCACTTTGATAAACTATTTGTGTGAAGAGAAAGTAGATCCTCAGATATGACTACAAGCAAAAAAAAATTTACAAGATGAAATGATCATACCATCAAATTTTACCATCATAATCAGTCATATATAAGACTTTTATGATTCTTATAACTAAATTAAATATTTTTTATTATCTAATGATTGTTGATTAAGAGTATACAAAATATTTATATATGATTATAAACAGAAGATAGTTCAGTGTAAATTGGAGATCAGACCAAAGAACTGAAACTAAAATTATATGTATGCTATAAGAAGTGATTAAATTCAAAAGCTACAAAGTCCAAATGACTTACTGAGAAAATCACCCAAGCTGAATTGTTTCTTGGCAACCCATTTCTGATAATTAACAGCCGGTTTTTCAAGTTTGTCAAACCAGCCTAAAGAATCTCCCACTGTGTAATTTTTGTAAGCTCCAACAGATCCTAAGAAACACGAAAGAAAAATACAAGAAAGAATTGAGAATAGAAAGTATGTAGATGATGATGAGTTTCTTCTATGTTCCATTATTCTTGGTGTGTGTGAAATTATTCTGAATAGAAGGAAAATAAGTAAGTAGCTTTTTTATGAGTCAGTGGATGAGAATGTAGGATTCATATGCTGCCAGCTATGGTGTGTCAAGTGGTTTATATTTAAGAAACCTTGCTTTTCTAATGAATTACTAAAATATACATTGTGGTGGTTAGTTTCAATTATTTGTGCTCATATTATCTAACTCAATCTACAAAATAAGAAAAATAAAAATTGATTCGTATTGTCCAATTATAACCACCAAAAGATTATAAATAGTTAATAATGATGTACTCCTATATATGAGTCATTAAAAATAATGCAGAGATATATAAATGTAATTAAATTGATTCTCTTTGTATAAAAGTTACAAGGAAAACTAAGTTTCAAGCATTAGAAATTCCTAATTTCAGATCTAAGAATTTGAGTCATGTGATTCCAACTTGATAAACCCATGAGAAGTTGACACGTGGAAGGAGCTATAGCGGTAAGTCGGTGGCATTCTGACACTGCATGTGTTTCGTAAAAATTTAGATATTGGGTAGGGTATGTAATAAAGAGGTGCTTTTATTTTTATTATTATATCATACATGTATCAATTAAAATCTTTATTTATAAAACACACTTTCAAATTTATCCAAAAATAGAAGACAGATCAATACGTAATAAACTGCAACAGTGATAAGTCAATGATTGAAAGTGTTGAAATATGTAGATCTTGGTAAAAAAACTTGAACTTTTGTTGAAGAGAAAAGCTAAGGAAAATAAGTTTATTGATTATTGAAAATGACATGGATTTTATTTTATTTTGATATAAAATGCAACACTCCATTGACAGCTGAGGCATAATGCACTAAGTAGGTAATAGATATAATAGAAGTGCATGGGTTTGACTTTGCATTCAACAATTGGCGTTGAAAGTGATGTCTAAACTCCAATGTGTGGTATTTAATTAGTTCAGTTCAGCCATGATTTGCATATCAAAAAAAGTACTCATAACCTTACTTGCAGGGACAAACAAAGTCGTAATATAACTAATATGAACAAGTGACACCCTTTTTTATTTATAACTATATACTTTTGATTGTACTCTAAATTTTCATAGTCTTTCCAATGATCTAAAAAAGTCAAATAAAATTATTTTTGACATTTTACTAATATATGGGTTATAAAGAAATATTGGAGCTATTGAGAAAGGTTATTAGACTTTAGCATTTAGTTTAGATATTTTTAGGACATCTAGTGGATGACAAAGCATTACTAGGACAAGTTATTAGCTAGAATTTTATTTATTAAATGATATTTTACTAACGTTATAGTTATAATAATATGTTTAAAAATCATAGGGATAATTTGAGGTCATGATAGGGTCATTAGAATTTTTAGGTATTTTGATTAATAGCTTAATATTCAATATCAAACATTAACATATAAAATTAAATTCGGGTTATAGGCGATGATTAGGAACTAATATTTTTTTTTAGAGGTATCATAGTCTTTTGAAATTATTAATTAAGTTATTAGTTATTGTTCTGGTCTGGACCCCGGCCTGATCGGGAAGGCCCAGCCCAACTATACTTGGGGAAAGGCCCAAAGGAGCCTTCCTTATATATGTCGAGCACAAGGCTTTCGTCGACCAGACATTGTCCTGCCGGGCAGAACGTTCCTCCCGTTGGGCAGAAAGACGTGTGCCTCACACGTTCTCCACGTGCTCCCCTCCGCGGGGACACGTCATCAGACAACTATCTACCTTTGAAAGAGCAGGTCAACCCACCTTTCGGAGATCACGAGGCAGTTGACCTAGGGCGAAGACCACGTCCTGGTCTTCACTACGCCACATAAGCCCTAGCAGTCACTTGGGTTGGGTATGCCCATCCAGCCCAACTCAAATGACCGTTGGCCCTGCGCTGGGGTCTCACTATAAATACTCTCTTTCACTAGATGGTCGGGTATTCAATTCTCTATCTTTCTTCTGTATTTGCTCTCACTCTGGTTCATATTACTCATTTTGGCATTGAAGTATCTTGCAGGCACACCCTCTTTCCTCTTCCATACTCCCGGTGAACAGACAGCAAATCAAAGACGCGTGGCGGTCCAACGATTCCCTTCTGATCAGGTCAAATCAGTTATTAAGTTGTTTTAAAAATTAGGAGGAGGTTAGTCAATTATCAACATCAACATATTATTAGAATAATATTAGTTTGTTTTTATTAAAATCATTATATTAATTTAATTATTGTATTAAAACTATTCATTCATTTTAGTCGGTTTTCAAAAAAAATATTATTAATGAGAGTATTTTAATTTAAGTTTTATTTTATAATATTAAGTTTTTTGGTTAATTATTATTAAGAGTATTTATTATTATTATTATTATTATTATTATATTATTAGCATTAGATTTAATTTATTTCTATTATTTGGTAATTTAATAATTTATTGGTGGTCAAAATTGTTGATCCAAATAAAATCCCAATTCCCTCTCTAAAACCCTAATTTGCATGTATCATCAAGATAAAGGGATAAAAAACAATTCTAAAATTCAAAATTTCCATTAATAGAGCAATTAGATACAAGACTTGATTTTTTTATACAAATTACAAAACTGTTACAATTGAAAAACCCTAAGATCTAATTCTAAAACAAAATCAAATAAAATTACATGAATCAAATTTGAAAATTCCTAATCTAAATCTAACCTAATAAATTTGAAGACCTAATCTTCTACCTATATAAACCAGAAGATTCAGAAGAAGAAGAAGAAGGGAGAACCCTGAGACGATCGTTGCGTAAATTTTCTAAATCTTTTCACCAAAAGCTCTAAGTACTTAGTAAATTAGGGTTCATCACTAGAACCCTACTTTTCGTGAGCTTGGCCACCTGCAAGCAAAGACAGAGAAAGGGATTAGAGATTAAGAATCGAAAGAAAGAAACAAAAACAAAGGAATCAAAAGCAACATAATTAGGTCACAGATAGGAGGGTACATTTTTAGCTTTTGTTAATCGTTGCCTCATATTGTTGTTGTTGTTTGATTAAGGGCATTTGGGATTTAATTTGGGGTTTTTGGGTAGGTTTTAGTGTTAGGGTTCTTCTGTTGTAGAATTAGGGTTAGGGTTCAGGTGAGAGGGTTAGGGTTCTTCCGTTTTAAGCTTAGGGTTCATACTGCACTATGCCAAATAAGATCTTTAGCAGCGCTTTTTTTGCCCTTTAGCAGCGCTTAAAAGCGCTGCCTAAAGTGGCACTGCTAAAGGTAAAGGCAGCGTTTTTTTATGGAAAAAGCGCTGCTATAGGCCCCCTTTAGAAGCACTTTTAGGAGCATTTTTCCCCCTTTAGCAGCGCTTTCAGAAGCGTTGTCTATTCCCCCTCCCCCCCTTTAGCAGCGCTTTCAGAAGCGCTGCCTATTCCCCCTCCCCCCCCCCCTTTAGCAGCGCTTTTGAGAAGCGCTGCCTATTCTCCCCCCTTTCTCCTCCTATAGCAGCGCTTTTTTGAGTGCTCTCTATGCTCCCCTTTAGCAGCGCTTTTTTGTAAAAGCGCTGTCTATTCTTCACGATTTTAATTTTTTTTTTAAATAATCACTTTTTAAATATTTTTTTCGATAAATCTGCTTATAACAATTACATTCCCTGCTTATAATTCAAACCTTTAATTCAACACTTTGGCCTTATATATACATTGTAATTCAACACTTTAGCCTTAAATATACATTGCAATTCAACGCTTTAGCCATAATCATTGTAATTCACATAAACCTGCTTATATATAATTCAACACAATCTGATCCTCAGAACAACTTCACAAATACAGTCAATTTACATATAATTACAAAATCGATAACTTTACACATAGATACGACTTCCAGAAATATTATTATACCACATCAATATTTGACGATACATAAACCTTATACAATTCTCAACTCAATAATGTATTGACACCATTCCTCCTTAATTTCTTCCAATCCTGCTTTCGAGTATGTATCACACTTGAATTCATCAAAGTACTACATAATATAACAAAACATGCACAATTTAGTTTTAAAACTTATTACTCAGATGAAATATCGGTTAATTATTAAAATAAATCATATAACTTATGAATTGATCCATACCATGATTGGAATATCTATTTGACCCGAGTGAATAATTTCCTTCATAAAGCGCAATACAAAATATCCGTAATCAATCCCATTGCGCTAACGAGGACACTGTAAATGGAAAAAACAAACGATCACGTGTGAGGATATATAGCTTAAATAGTTTTATCAAGTAGAATCACTATAACAGTAAAAAAAAAAGTGAAAATATACCTGCACTCTGATCAAGCTAATGTTGTTAGCCTTCCTTTTTGGCACTGTTGCTTATCTTTGCGATCGAAATATTTGTATAGATCTAACATAATATAAATGAATATTTAGAACAATCTCACATAATAAATAAAGATAATTATTCAGAACAGTATATCTTATCACTTACATATCAACCATAGTCTTCATATCAGGACATTTTGTTTGATCACCATCCAATGGATCCAGATAATACACTATTTCTTTCATCGGATTAATCGCGACCAACAACCAGTGTCCACTGTAAAATAAGACAAAAGTTTAGACGGAAATATTATATAGAATTGCAAAAAATGAATAATTATAATAAATGAATTTAGAAAGAAATCTAACTCATGGCCAGTATTATATGGCAACAAGTACAACTTCTCTGTATCTACGACCATAAATGATTTGAGTACGTAATCTCTGACCACATCTGGAGTGTGCTTGATTAACTGTGCATTGATACAACTGGCAGATAAGAATGCGAATCTTGGAGTCAAACCATGCGGGACCAACATCTTGCCATACAATAACCTTAAATAAAAACATAATCAACATTAGAATATTCATTTTAATGAGCAAATAATTTGTTCAAGTATTTAATTAAAATTGATCGAAGTAGTACCTGATGTAGGAATGCATAACACCAATGCCCAATTCAGAATGTTG